GAATGTTGTACACCTCCATGGAGTGGTTCATTGGAGCAGAGCCGACAGGGGCCCCAGAAATTGTAGTTTAAGGACCCTATTTGTAGATGATAGAACCATTCCGTAAAATGGGGGAGGACTGACCTTTTGGAGCCAAGCCATTGGAAGAAGGATGCCCATTCAGAATTGGAAGCTGGATGAAGATCTTTCCAATATGTTGCTATGGGAAATTGGGAGGAAGTGTGCGAGTGGAAACGCATTGATGTATGACTAAAAGATGATAAGGACAATGGTTTACCATCAAAGTTGTCAGTTAGGTTGGAAAAAAGTTGTAGATGTGGTGAAGGAATTGATGATTCTAGTGAAAGCTTGTAGGCAGACAAAGTGGATTGATGAACTTGCAAAAAGGTGTCAATTTGGTCAGTGCCTGATGTTATCCTGTTCTTGACAGAACGTGTGCGCAAGATCCAGCCACAAGAAACAATTAAGCCCTTATGGCCAAGTTGGTAAGGCGCCACACTAGTAATGTGGAGATCCTCAGTTCAACTCTGAGTGAGGGCATTTTCTTTTTTCGGTGGAGATTTTTCAATTTCTCAATTTTTCAATTTCTCAATTTCTCAATTTTTCAATTTTTCAATTTTTCAATTTCTCAATTTCTCAATTTCTCAATTTCTCAATTTCTCAATTTCTCAAATTCAAAATTCAAAACAGAGAATTTCAAAATTCATAAAATCAAAATTGAGAAATTCAAAATCTCAGTATTTGAAAATTTGAGGAAATTCAATGAGTGTGTTTGTGATATCGAGATGATCACCGCGAGCAGCGGAATTTTATATCCCTGACTTTTTTTTATTGATGACCCTCAGTTAAATTTCAACCTTCCATCCATCAGTCTGCTATCAACTTTCATCATGTGTTCCTGATTCCGTCTGTGCCGACATATGAGCAAACCAAGGGAAGCATGTGAAAATGACCAAGTGAAATTGCTCGCTAGCAATTCTGAGTTACTACAATCGAGGGTAGAAGTATTGTTAGAACTCCCACTATATGATTGCTATGTAATCATGGTAACTGAAGTTTTCTTAAGGTATCATTGATTCATTAATATTTCAGATATATACACTTCATTATTCGACTATCTTTATCCCACTTTGATCTTGGGTAAGACACCAGTTATGCCATTTATACAAATTAGGGAGCACGCGGAATGTAAATGAAAGAGGTACGCGGAATATTGGAATTGAGATTTGGTTTCTCTTTAGTTGTGAGACCACGTAAATATCTGTAGATCCCCAACATTCTTAAGTAACTTCTTTCAGGAGAAGGGAGGAAGTTTTATATTATACTTATGACTATTTAGGTGAATGACATTGTGTCAAAATTATTTGAAACAATCATTAATAGACCACAGTCTACAGATCATTACTAATTATATCCGGTAGTCAAGTCAACCTAAATACTAGTCGGGCACTTAAGTATAACAGCGTGAGGGGGGTATCAACCAGACTGTGAACCGTCTCAAGTGCTACGTCTCTTCAACTAGTGACCTACAAAGGGACGGTGATGCTTTATTTCATAGTCACACTGATCCCTCGATAGTTTCCATGTATCCTATATAACCATAGATTTTATTCATTCTTGTCGGCAAAAATTAGATCCTACGAAGAGTCATAATAATCGAGTCTGTTTTTGGATCTTTTTTATCATTTGAATCTTTCACTTATGATGAAGATGGAAGCGTAGTGCTCTGTATAAATAGGATACTATTATCTCAACCAAAGTATAAAAAGCTACAAAGCACATTTAAGCTCAATTGATGACATACCACAACATGACTTAAAACAATCGTTTAAAGTGGTTCGCCCTTTTATTTTCAGATACCAAAATTCACTATTTTTCTCTCTCAACTTCAAGCGTCTCACTCAATTAAACACATAATTTGAAAACACAAACAGTATCAAAAGTTACAGTCTTTCAAAAACATACATACAAAAGTTAACAAACAGATCAAAACGAAAAACAACTCTGAAATAACATCATCATGAGACATTGTCAGGTTTTCTCTTCGAGACACACCAGGTCTGACAGGGTCAGCCCACTATCAACATATGTGTAGTAAGTATTTTCGAGAAAAACATTCGACCACATCGTCCACCACCATTTCTCAAGGGCTATCACTCAATCACGTTCATAAAAAAGGAACAAGGAAAATAGCCACACATCTGCACCGACTTCGAAGACAATGTGGCAGGTTTGAGGAATTCCGGCAAGCGATTTGCACAAACCCAAGAGCTTGTAACTGTGGACGAGCTAATGTCGGATAGCACCATCTCATGTTGGAATGTGCTATACTAGCTCCTATAATCCGGAACCACAATTACAAACAACTCCTTTTTTCCAAAAAAGGGAACAAGACCATCATGAAAATTTTGGTGGAGGTTCACTATCAAAGTATGACGTTATACACTATGAACGAAAAAATATAAGTGGGAAAAAGTCCTAAATAAATAAGCAGATACATGATTTTTTCTCGAATACGAGTTTTACTCTAAAGAGTTGAACTTTAAGTTAGAGTTTTTCACAGCAGGTTGGAGACGTTCAAGATGATAAGATATCTAGTTAGCTGTTTACGCACCGAGACCTTAATTTATCCAATACATATTAAAGAATTTAACTATTAAAAAATAAATAAATCAACTCTCCTCACGGTTAAAAGGGGGAGCTGATAGGGATAAGTAAATTATATAATTATATAGCATAACATACATAGCTTCTATCAGGATGATTGCTCTATTTAATGGGCGAAGGATTTATCCTCATCGAGAATACATTTAGTCATTTCAATCCAACACTGATTCTTGTCTTCTTTTGATTAAATAATATAGCTAAAGCTTATTATTGTTGTGTGGGTAACAGTGGGCAATCTAAACCGGACTCCTATTTTCACAGATGTTGTTGTTGTTGTTGTTTTTTTTTTTTTTTTTTTTTTTTCCC